ACTCAGTAAAGGAAGAAAGTGAATTCAGCCTGCCCTGCCCACATGATTGAAATGCAGTCCTTCAAGACTTATGAGGTATGGGGGGGGGTGGCATTGGGGAGATAAGGAGGGTGAGGGGATTTGGGGAGCAAACAAGGAATCTGAGAGGGGGGAGCGAGCGCTGGAACTGATTGTGAGGATGTATCTACCACTCATTTTAAAAGTGATTTAACCATGGCGGTGTATAATTTGTGGATCCTATATCAAGAAAATCACACACACACACAAAAGGAATGATGATAAACCATATATACTCGAGTATAAGCCGACCTGAATATCAGCCGAGGCACCTAATTTTACCACAAAAACTGCATTAAAAAATGTGCTGAAAACTCGGCTTATACACGAATATGTACAGTAATATGAAAAATGTAGCCAGTGTCATTGAACAATATGCATAGAAATTGTCTAATGGGATCCTAATGTGCTATGTAAACTCTTACCAAAACACATTACAACATGTATATTTTAAAAAGACTTACTCCAGAGAACTCACTCGGAAGGGTTCTGCTGCAATACAAATCCATTGTGGTAGACTGGGAATAGGACGCTATAATAAGCTTGGTGAGCCCTGAGCTAAGACATGGACGTACAGGCGATGGAAGTACGTCATCAAAGATTCCAGGGCAAGCTGTGGCAGTGTCTTCCTGTAAACTCACTGGCCGCCTCTAGTGAATTCACCCGGAATAGCCCCTGCACTACAACCAGCTTTCTCCATGAAGGCAAAGTCATTTTTTCCCTTCCTAACCAGTAGGCATTTGATGAGTGTATTTCAACATACGTCTCTGTTCCTCTGGGGCTTTTTAAAGAAGGTGATTGCATCCAAGGTCAGGCAGCACAGACTCCAGTGAGGGCTACGTAGGCAGCAATGATTTTAGGAGTTGGGAAATGATGACTTTTCAAATTAAAAAAAAAAAAAGGTCCAAACTCTATTAAGTAAATTCATGGTCTTCCATGACAAGTGCCCAAAAATTCACTTAAGGGACAGTGCATCCGTTCCATAGAGGCTGGAGGACACAGACAGAGTGCACGTCCACCCCTCAGTCCTCAGGAGGACTCTCCCAATCCCCGTCCGATAGAAACCCTACATCAGATCTACAAAAAGATGCTGGCGGCAGGGCACCTTCCTTACCCCCTCCTCAGGGAGCTCCAGTGAGAAAAATAGAGAGGCCGAGAGAGAGACTCAGCAGCCAGGGTCTCAAAAACTCACTGCCATCCAGGCAATGCCAACTCATAGGGACCCTACAGGACAGGGCCGAACTGCCCCTGTGGGTTTTTGAGACTGGAACTCTTTGCTGGAAAGCCCTATCTTTCTCCCACAGAGTGGCTGATGTTTCAGAACTGCTGACTTTGTGGTTAGCTGCCCACGGTGGAACCACTACATGGCCGGTGCTCCCGGGCCGCTGTTGTAGGAGAGCCATGAACAACATTCTGCGTTTGAATCCCAGCCTGACCATTAGCCAATGTGGCCATGGGAAAAGTTTCTTTAATCTTCTCCTCCTCAGTTTTCTCGTCTTTTAAATGGGATAATTGGAATATTTGCTTTCTTGGATTAGACAGGATAAAGTAGTGCTTGGTATGTAGCCCTCGTAGTAAATAATGTCAGCCATGGTAATGATGGATAGATTAGTATTTGTGCCCCCAGATGAGAGTTCTTCATGGTGGGGCTGTTAAGAAACATGGCGAACCATCAGGCTTGGACGCATTGTTTTTTAAAGTCCTTACAACTGAATTTCCTAATTCTTTTTTTAATCTAGACACTGATAGTGAATTATTATTTCTGACTTACTTAGAATGTTTAACCAGATTCATTGATCCAGTAAGTAGACTTGAGAGAAAGGAACCTAGGGAGGGGCTGAGTGAGCTGCAGGGACATCTCAGAGGTTAGTTGACGGAAGAATCAAGATGTAAGAAAACAGCAATGGTTTTTAAGAACATAAAATTGAACCTTCAATATTTAAAAAAAAATGTTTAACAGTTCTATTGGCATGTCATGAAATTCAATAATTCATTCATATCAAGAAGAGTTGTACAATCATTACCACCATCAATTTGGAACATTTTCTTCTTCCTTGTGCTCATTGTTATTCATGTAAATATTTTTTTATTGTGGCAAAACTGTACACAACAAAACATTCTCCAATTCAACTTCTACATGTATAATTCAGTGGTATTGATCTAAAATTTTTTCCTTTCCATATCTGTTAGCTTTAAAAAGTTGCAAGCGTATTATAAACTCATTATTTAATCTATGATACTCTTTGGAAGGAATACAGACTATTAAAGGAATCTTTGAATTTGATCTTGTTATTTTGCCCAATGTAAAAAATGTACATGCCTTCTAAAATCCAGCCACACTAATTCAAAGTTTTCTAATAGCAAAACAATGTTTTATCCCATGTGAATCTCAATATTTGCAGTATAGAGCTATAACTTTATACAAGTATAACCTATGAAAAATATATCTCACAGCTTCTACCTCCAAATCTGGAAATACCTTCTTAGGACCAAAAGAACTCCTGTCATCAAGTCCAGGCTGACTTACCATATAGGACAGGGTAGAGCTGCCCATTGGGTTTCCAACACTGTAACTCTTTTTTCCCTCCCCCAAGACTGTAACTCTCTATGGGAGTAGAAAACCCAGTCTTTCTCCTGAGGATCAGCTGGTGGTTTTGAACTGATGACCTTGCAGTTAGCAACCCAACGTATAACCACGACACCATCAGAGCTCCTCGTAAATTGACCATAACATAGAAAAAAAGTGTTTATTTGAAGGAAAGGAAATGATGAAGTAGTTAGGCTAAGCAATTGGAAACTCATCTTAAGCCAAAGTCCCTTTGTGAATGTTCTAGTGTAGCATGTAGGCCCCAAGGAAGACCTCTCCGCTCTGCTTTGCTGGACTGTCATCCCCAGCCGTCTCCCAGAGGCAGGATCTCTTCTAGGAGAACACCGCAGCAGGGTCTGTAGTTGCAGGGTCCTTACTTGGACCAAATTATAGAACTGAAGAGCTGGACGTTAATTTAGAGATCTTACAGTTTAGATGATTAGATTAGTCCAAAAAGTAAAGGAATTTGCATAAGTCCTTCCCTAACAAACTAGCTGTCATGGGGTGGAATCCAATTTATGATACCTTGTGTTTCACTTTGAGTAGTGTGTACTCCACAGGGCTTTCAGTGACTGAATTTTCAGAATTAGAAAGCCAGGCCTTTCTTCTGAGGCACCTCTAGATGGAGTCAACCCTCCAACTTTTTGGTTAGCAGACACACAATCACCGTTTGCATTGCCCAAGGACGATCTAAACCCAAACTCATAACAAACAGCACAACTGGAGCCAGATCTGATGATCTCTGTTTGCTTCCAAAAACCCAACTGCTGCTTGGAAGAATTCATGATTTCTTATAAGCTTTATTGCTATTAATGGGAGTGGCGCTGTATGCACAGAAGATGAGATCAGTGGTTCAATCAGGAAAGTGATATTCGAGACACATATAACAGAAAGAGAAAAGCCCCGCTGTGCCATTGAGTCCAGTCCAGCTCGCGGCAGCCGTGTGGAACAGCGTGGACTCGACCCTGGTCGCAGAATTCTGAGAAGTGCTAGATGATTGCTTTGATGATTGACGGTGGACAAGGAAAATAGCAAGGCCCGTAGATAGAAACTGAGGATAAAATTGAACTTTTTTTCTTGTCACTCTTTTGAGTGGCAGGCCTTCACAAAGAGAGAGACAAGTTGTCTTTCATTTTGATATTCAAATATAATTAATTATAAAATCCTTCTCTAATGACTGTGGATTATTTTACTGTCTTTTTTCAATTGGAATATTTCTACAGTTGTGCCCATTTGAAATCTTGAAATCTTGTTTACCAGTTTTGATGTGATTGAAAAACTAAGCATGTCAAAATCAGATGTGCTATCTGCATACTTTCATCTCTCAACAACTGTGTCTTAGTATTCCTGAAAATAACAGGTTTACTCCCTCTGTTTAATTTTGTTAGTGCTCCTACATCCCTCCCTGCGAGAGAGAAAATCAGAAGAACTTGGAAAGTGTCATGACTTGGCAACAGTACTGGAAGGAAGAGATTGGTTCCCAGCCATTCACTTGCTATTTTAATCAATATCAAAGGTAAGTCAACTGTTTACGTGCGAATTGACATTACTGGTAGCTCCTGGCCGTTGATACCCACCCAGACACCTTAGAAGTCACACCCATAAGACCCTCGAGAGGGCAGCTCTACTCTGAACATGAAAGGTCGCCAGGAATTAGAACGGACTCTCCAGCAACGGGGACTGTGCATACCTTAGAACACATGTTCCTTGGGGCAGGACATTTCTGTAGCCACCCAGATTAATCACAGTCGTTTATTCATCCAACACTCATTAAGGATTTACAACTCCTGATGTTTGCCCCATGATGTGCATTTCACTTGCTTGTTCTTCCCATGCTACAAACCTCTTCCTCACACACTGCCTCTCTTAGTGAATAGCACAATTATCCACCCACCTACCCAATCCAGAAACCATTGAGTAATCCTTAATGCCCATTTTCCTTTACGTTCTAGAGCCTAAATTCACCACCATCATATTGATTTTACCCCCACATGACTCTTGAAATGATCCATTTCTCTGCCTTCTTCTTGATCATGTCTTAGCTCAAATTCACATGATTTTTCAATTCTATTTAATGCAATAACCTTATAACAAGTCCTCCCAACTCTACCTTGATCCCACTCCAAGCCGTTCTCCATGGTGCTTCAGAAGGCACAATTAGAGAAACTATTTAGACATTAAGACTGAACCATTTGACATGAAGGATCAAGAAAAAACACAGTTCATAAGGGTAATGTTCTATAGCCTCGTCTGGTGAATAGTGTCTGGGGTCTTGAAATCCTATGAGTGGTCATCTAATAAGCAACTATGTGTTTCTTCACACCCGGAGCAAAGGAGAATGAAGACCAATGAAGACGGATGGAAACAATTAGTCTAAAAAACGAATGTCCCGCATGAACCACAGCATCTTCTACCCCGAGAGCAGACAACTAGCTGACACCTGGCTACCATGACTGCTCCTCTGACCAAGTCCACAGTTGAAGGTGCTGGTTAGAATGAGTTTTTTAAAATGTAGTAAAAATTCCAAGGTAAAAAATCAAGTGAGCAGACTTACTAGTGGAAAAGAGGAGCCACCCCACCCTCTCACCCCACCCACAAGTCTATTGCCCTGAGAAACTTTCTAACTGAAATTGAAGACACTCCCAGAGGCCACTTCCCAGCCAGTGGCTCAATGGGCCTACAAAACAACAGGCAGACGGTGCAAGACCAGCAGGACAACCTCTGCCGGAGACTCGAGATGGGGAGGGGCAGGGGAATCAGGGGAATGGAAATAGCCCCCAATGAGGGAAGGTGGAAGTTGCTGACACACTGTGGGGATGTCAGCCAATTTCAAAGAACAGTTTATGTGTCAACTCTTGGTTTTGGAAAAGCAATTTGCTACGTAAACTTTAACCTAAAGCCCAACAAAATGTTTTTGTTTCTTAGAGAATCATATGGGGATCTTGATTTTTTGTTTTTGTTTTAAAAGCAGCAGCAGCCAACTCTCAGTCCTCCTTCGGCATAGTCCGCCTCGCTAGTCACAAGATGGTGGCTGTAATTCTAGTTATCTTACCAGATACAATGGTGTCTTTTCTGGGTAATATCTTACCCAGAAAGAGCAGTGTCCAGGGCCAGAAAGACCTGACTCTCTGTGGTTGACTATCTTGGGATGAGGAACCTTCTTCCTGCACTGGCTCAACAGACTTTCCCTTGAGTCACCTCGAATAAGTTCTTTTTTCTACCCCTAAACCAATCACAGGAAAGAACATTAGAATGGACCCCTCAATTCAGGATAAGGCAATGTCTTCTAAGGGACGTGACATAGGGAGGGAGCAGAAAAGGGCACGGAGTTTTAAAGGGCAACTGGCAGGGCCAGTTTCATAGCCTTGTTGGAACAGCTCTGTGCCAGAAGCATTCCACACTCACGTCACATAACTATGCCAAGTGGGCTTAAGAAAAGTGGAGCCCAGACAAGTCAACTCAGAATATCTGGTCGGTGAACCCAAGCACTAGTATTTTTAGCAATCTACCCCAGCCATGCTAATGTACAACCAGGGTCAAGAACCACTGCTCTGCCCTCTCACCTGCCATCCTCTACTCTACTCATTTACCTGGCCTTCCCCACCAGACTGCACATCTGTTAGGGACCAGGCCACATCTTTGCCTTTCTATTCCCAGCACCTAGCATAATGCCTTCTTTTCAGTTAATAAATGGTTGGTAAATGAAAGCAAGGGACCCAATTAATCAGGAGGGTTCTTTGCTTCCAAGAAGAAGCATGTATTGGAGGAAGCAGACACATTTGCAAATGTAAACATGGCATCATCAGCTGTAAATAAAAGGGGAGAAGAGCGTGAAGTGGGGGTGGCTGTAATAAAGAAAGTGAAGTTTGACGCGATCAGGTGCATTGGGTATGGGGGTTAATTACTTAAGAAGGAATGGAGACTTTGTATGCTGGAAAGGTAGCCTGATGTTAGTTGTCTACAGGGTCATAAATACCACACTAAGGAGATGGTCCTTGTTATGATGGTAATGGAAATTCAGGAACAGTTTGCTTTTGTTTAACTGAAGAATGAAAAGTAGATCTTGGTTTTAGAAAGTGACTGGTATGCATAATGAATCTGTATTGGAGGGGAAGGATAGGCTACCCACGGAAGTGATAGGGGAAGGAGGAGAGAAGTGAATGAAAACAATCCCCCTTTTGAGTGACTAGCTACCATGTATCAGCCATTGTGGATAACATCTTATGTAAACCACCAAATCTCTTAAAATAGCTCTATTATCCTTCTTTACCACATGAGGAAATTGAGTCTTAAAGAAGTTAAATAACTTGCCCTGCACACACAGCACGTAAGTGACAAAATTTGAATCCAGTTAGTCTGCTTCCCAAAGCTTTTCCTGTTAACCATTTGCTGGCCCTGGTCAGGGATTTTTAGGTTATAAACTAGAGTAGCAGCCATGAAAATAGCTAATGGGAGTATGTCAAAGTTATTTCCAAAAGTTAGAATTCATAGAACCTAATGTAAGTAAGTGATGAAGAGAAGGAACATGTCATATTTGATAGCCCAGTTTTGTGCTGGAGTTGAGGTATTCAGAAACTATCCAGATGATACAAGTTAGAGATACAGTTTATACAGATATCCAGATGATTGAACAAGTTAGAGATACAGTTGATACAGATAGCCAGCTGATACAAGTTAGAGATACAGTTGATACAGATAGCCAGATGATACAAGTTAGAGATACAGTTGATACAGATATCCAGATGATACAAGTTAGAGATACAATTGATACAGATAGCCAGATGATACAAGTTAGAGATACAGTTGATACAGATAGCCAGATGATACAAGTTAGAGATACAGCTCAGGGGCAGGAGGCCTGGAGCAGGGCCAGAGAGACTGAGAATCATGGGCACACAAGCTATATTTGCTGGGGGGTTGGGAGGCATAGGGGGGCGGGTAGTGGGAAGATGGAGTGTGAGGGTAGAAATTGGACCAAATCTTGGGATCATCTGTCTCTATGTTAGAGGTAAAAGGCTGAGGATAAGTGACTGGTTGGTAAGAGGAAAGTCAAAAGAGAATATTGTGTCAGAACTCTTGCTGCCATTGAGTCAACACTGACTCACAGCGACCCCCGGTGGGTTTCTGAGACTGTAACTGTTGACTGGAGTAGAAAGCCCAGTCTTTCTCCAGCAGAGGTGCTGGTGGTTTTGAACTACTGACCATGCGGATGACAGCTCAACAGGTTACCACTACATCACCAGGGCTCCTTTAGTGTCAGAAAGAGTGTTTTGAGAAGAACTACTGAGAAGTCTTTGTTTTAGCAATTATGTGTCTGCTAGTGACCTTGGCAAGTCTTGTTTAGGGAGTATATTCCTTATACAATATTAGGGTATAAAGCCAGAACTCATTTTATATTCAGTGGAAAGAATTAGGTGAGAATGTGGAGTTATTATATGCAAACTACTCTTGTAAGAAATTTTCTATGTCTGGAAAAAGAGTTTGGAGAGGAGGTGAATAATTGAGGGAAACAGGGTTGGAGAGAGAGAAATGAGCTTTCTACAGAGTAAACTTGATGAAGCCAAGAGAAAAGTTGACTTTATATATAGTCAATGAGGTGAAAATGGAACACCCCTGAAGAAAAGGAGGTAGGGTGGAATAAAGAGGTTAGGAAGCAGATTGTTGGTTTGTTTTGTTTTTGCCAAAACAAACCTGGTAATAGGGCTTAGTCTTATTGATACTCAGTCCCACTGCCTGAGTCTGGTGCTTCCTTTAAGCTTGGGCCAGAAGTTGGCTTCCTAATGTGGGTGAGTCTGAGCCTGTGGTTGGAGGAAAACAGGGTCACCCTTTCCCACTTGCTGAAGATCACCTTATTAAGCTTCCCTAACTCCCCACTCAGCTTTATCCAGCTCACCAAGTGTTAATATAGGCTGCCGCCCTCAAACAAGGTTGCTTCCTGTTAAGGCATTGATTCTGAATCTCCTCAGTACATAATCAAGAAGTATTCCTGCAGATAAATTAGTGGTCAGAACCTGCCCTGCGGCAGCCAGCATAGTGGGCGAAAGATCTGGCAATCCACTGCCATGAAAATTACATCCTAGGAAACCATGTGGGCTTAGAAAACCCCATTTTGTCACGTGGGGTCACCACAGCAAACTTGATTTCAACAGCATGTGACACCAACATCCACTTTAGTAAGAATACATTGAAGCCCCTCCTCCCTCCCTCAGATCTGATACCGATTCCTTGCCCATAATGTAAATCTCAAATTCCTGGAGGTGTGGGTAGAAGTGGGGGTGGTCTGTCACAGCACAGCAGCCCTTAAGACACGTTATTTAAGTGACAGAGGGAGCCACGTTTGGAGTTTGGCTCTTAAACTATGACATATGTGACAGGAAGCCCAAGTGCTGGTTGGAGGTGTGAAAGTGGCAGCTCTCTCGTGCCATCTACTCGAAGGGCATGTTTTGCCACTGCTAAATATGAAGTAAAAATAGACGTACTGTATAGACTCCAGATGCTCTTGGTAAGATGAACTTT